TAAACACTCGACCACTGAGCCAAATCCCTGACCATATACTCAGATTTAGATGCTCAAAGAATGCCTGGTAAGGGGAAGGGATGCAATGGAAGAATAAAGTGGATACATTTTACCTGTCAATGTTAGGCAATGAGTTTGCACTGGCCGCTCTCAAAGAAACTGACTGCTTCAGTTACAAGAGAGTTCCTCACAAAGGAAATGAAGATAACTCTTTTTTGTTGCTATCTGGGGGGAGGGGACTGAAAGGGGGGGGGCTGAGACAGCCCAAGATGGCTTCTAACTCATTGTTACCAGGGATGATGCTCTTCCAGAGGACCTGGCGCTCCGTGCCTAACACCTATGCAGTAGCGCGGTAGCACACAACTGTGTGTGAATCCAGTTCTGTGGGATCTAATGCCTTGTTTTGTCCTCTGCAGGCACCTGTCCCGCGCATGGTACACAGGCACATGTGCAGGCAAGCCACTTAGACACATTCAAAAGTTTAACAAAGAAGAAATAGCCAATTTCATAAGACACATAAGGGCCTGTAAGATGGCTCAGTGAGTAAAGGTGCCACCAAGCCTCCCCCACCCCAAGACACAAAATAAATAAAGGTAAAAATTCTTTTAGAAGGAGGTCTTGTTGCTTAAGTGCTCAGAGATTCTTACTGCAATGCAGTTATCATTCAGATGCCCAAGACTATTGCTTTTTTCTTCCTTGTACTTCTCAGTGGCATTAACTGCTCATGTCCCTTAATCCCCAGTAGCTTCAGTGTGCTTTGGAGTTTAATTTACAAGTGTGTATTAGAGTATACATTTCTTTTGGCCATGACGTGAAATTAAATTTTCAAGGAGCACCTTTTACCTGGCTCAGAGGAATAGAGAGTGAGGACTCTCAGAGGAAGATGGCTCTGGCCTTCAACACATTAGCCATGTTTCTAGCTTGTTGGCATCCCTTACACAAGGCAGGCCTTCCTCACCAGTGGGTCACATCTTTCTGGAAAGATCTAATATGAAGGTGTACTAATCGTCTTTATAAGGCATTTCCCAGATAAATGTACTCTACAATAAAGTATAAGCAGGTCATTGTAAGGTCCTCTTGAGGTTTTAATGGACATGAGATGGATAGAGTGCCTGGTGTGTGTGTGTGTTCACGTGCACACGCACAAACCCTCAGACACATGTGTACTGTTGAAGAAAAGGGTCTTTTATTTTGGTCTATTTTGATAGTGTTCAGTAAATCAACAGATAATCCATTTTCCCTTTGTGAACTTGCTAAGGTTTAACAACTAGGAATGAAAGCGCCTTTAATCCCAATACTTGGGAGACAGAGATAGGTTGATTTCTCTGAGTTTGAGGCATGCTCTACATAACATGATGACTTCCAGATCATCCAGAGCCACATGGTGACCCTGTTTGGAAATATAGGTAGAATAGATTTTCCAAACTCTTGAGATTTGTGTGTGTGTGTGTGTGTGTGTGTGTGTGTGTGTGCCTTGAATATTTGAATTTCATACATGCCCAATGGAATCTTTGTAAAGGGGTGAGAAAGTTATGTATGCCAGGCTAAATTTGAACTCTTAGAGATATGCCTGAGTCTGCCTTCTGAGTACTAGGATGATATAAGTGCAGTACTATATAGTTGGGACCTTTATACTGTTTTATGTGTTTAGACTAATAGAGGACCCCTAAAGCTTGGAAGCAGCAGACAAACTGCCTATCTCGGTGTTAATTATGTGTTCTGGTACCAACAACCCTAAAAAAGGGACTTTTTAAGGGATTTTTAAAAAAATTTTTTATTGATTCTTTATGGATTTCACATCATGCATTCTGATCCCACTTATCCCTCTGTCCCCTCCTACCACACACACATACATCAAAACTGTGCTTAAAAGAAAAACAAAGAACAAAAAAACAAAGCAAAAACAAAACAACAACAAAAAGAATCTTATCATGGAAGTTACAGGGTGGCCCATTGAAGCACACATTTACCTTTTAGTCTGTTCATCTTGGACGTGTTCATTGCCACAAGTCATTGGTCTGGTTTGAGGCCTTTGATTCACGCTACAATGCCAATAATGATAATGGGCTCTCAATGATACTCCTCTCGGATATCCTGTTGCTGTCCTGTGTCATGGAGATCCTGCAGTTTTGGATCTGTAGGGTTTGTCCCCTTCACATGCTCCAGCAGTTCATAGATTGGGTGGATGTTGGGATGGGTCAACTCATAGCCCTGTTTCTGGGCCTGGGTGGTAACCGGGTTGGTCAGCTCACTGGCTTTCCTTCATCCTCACCTCCAGAATAAACTCTCCAGCACTGCATTGGTTATGGCCAGTTCTCCTGCTCTCAGGTCCTGAGATCCAGTTTCCCCTCACTCACATCGCCAGGGCCAGCTCTACTGTTTTGCCCAGGCAAAAGGGGTTTCCTTCAATCTGAACCTTAGCAATCTTCGTAACTGCTTTTCTTTCACTGAGATCTGAGTTATTTTTATAACTTCAGCTGTAAACTGTTTTTCAGTCTTCTTCAAATCTTTTTTCCTGTTAGTAAAAATTATCTATTGTCCATGTTTTTCAGAAATCACCAAGGAAACGATAGTTTCTGGGTGGAGAAACGGTTGTTTATTTGAAGATTGTCCTTTCATGCTTCACACATTTTATTTTCATTAGTAACAGTCTCTGTACCTTTTAATTGCAAATAATGATTATATGTTGTAGAAATTATTTTAAGGTGTGTTATATTTGTTTATGCTCTATTTGTTTAATTCAGTGAAACTGTGATTTTTTTTTTCTCTTTCTAAAACACCTGATGGTCTAATAAAAGAGCTGAACGGCCAATAGCGAGGCAGGAGAAAGGATAGGCGGGTTTGGGAGGCAGGGAGTACAATAGGAGGGGCAGTCTGGGAAGGAAGAGCAAGAGAACAAGGGGAGGGTCCAGCCATCCAGCCAGTAGTGGAGTAAGAGTGAAAGTAAGCTTTACAGAAGTAAGAGAAAGGGAAGCACCCAGAGACAAAAGGGTAGATAGAGTAATTTAAGATATGATAGACTGGCTAGCCAAGCAAAGGCCAGACATTTATAAGAAATAAAAAACCTCCATGTTTTTATTTGGAAGCTTGGTGGTGAGTGCCCCCTCCAAAGAGTAAAAAAAAGCCCAACAGCATATATACTGAGTGCATGATAGAAATACTCTCTCTCTCTCTCTCTCTCTGTCTCTCTCTCTGTCTCTCTCTCTGTCTCTCTCTCTCTCTCTCTCTCTCTCTCTCTCTCACACACACACACACACGTAATTATTTGTATCTAGGCATTAATAATCTAGTAATAAGCAATCACATACAAACTATTTTATGTTCAACACTCCTACCTAGCCCAAATGCTCTAATGCTCCTTTGGTGTCTGTGTTAGGGGAAGGCTTGCTTCATGAAAGTATACAAAAGCCAAGCAGTAGGGAGATGTATTTATCATCCCATGGGCCTCTGTTTGTTTAACACACTAGTGTCAAGCTCCCATGTCTCCAGTGGATTTATTCTTGAGATTGCATTTTGAGATGAAGTCTCATCATGTGGCCCCTCCAGTAGCTGGGACAATAGGTACATGCTTTAGCATGAGGCCCAGGTCCCTGAGATCTTGATTCTTTTCAGATTCTGCTTTGTCTTACGTATGTGGACAGCAATAGCAGAGCACTGAAATCAAATCTTGGTGAATTCGTATACAGTTTTATCAAGCCAGTAAATATTGGAGAGACTCAAGTCATAGTACCTGGTCTGGTTTGCTTTTGAGCTTTTCTGAACCTCTTGGGTGATTTTGAGGTGAGGCATTGGTCCCTTCAAAGCAGAGTTTTCATTCTGTGACTGACAGAACAAAGAGGAATAGTCATAGAAGAACCCGTCCAAACCTTACCTCTGAACTGTGGGCAGATTGTAGTTCTAAGAACATAGCCACTTTGTGGCCTAGGTCGCTATACAGTGAGCCATCTGACACTTTTAGCTCCAGGCTACATCACTACATAAAGATTATACTTATTGGAAACCACTGGTCTGTGGGAGTATAAGGAATAAGTAACTACATCACACAGAAGGTAGATATAGTCTGATAACCTACCTAGCAGGTGGCAATATAAAAATCTCAATGTGTAGTATTATCTGTGATCCCTTTTAAAGATGGGATTTAGCATAGAGATTATCCAATATAAACCTCCATAGTTTTTCTTTGTATGATCAACCCTGTGAAATGTATATGGGTCTCTGCTTTTCCTCAGTAGAATTCATGCTTTTATAAATTTATGTGTTACTTTCCTACACTACAACGTGGACTTACCTATTCCCTTAGTTATGGGTTGTTATCACACTTTATGAACCATTCTCTCTTTCTCTCGAAATATAAACTCCCAAATTCTTTTTTTAAAATCATGAGGAATTTATGAAAGAACTTTGTTACTATCAATCGATGCTGTTCTTATGGCCCCACAGTGACTTCTGTGGTGAAGCCATCTTAATTACAAAGTTTTACAAAGTTCTTCTGTTTTTTGTTTTGCGGGGGTGATGGTACCTTTATGACTCATCACAGCTTCCATTTCGAATTCCAATTCTAACTCTATCTGAGTTCATTAAGTTGTGAAGTGGTTAGGCCTGGTTAGTTTTGGTATGTGGTGTTTTATTTATTTGCAATTTTTTTGTTTGTGTTTTGAGACAGGATTTCTCTGTGTAGCTCTGGCTGTCCTGGAACTCACTTTGTAGAGCAGGCTGGCCTCAAACTCAGAGTGCTGGGATAAAAGGTGCACGCCACCACACCTGGCAGAAAAGCTTTTTTTTTTAAATAGTAAAGTTCTATTTCAAAACAACCACAACAAAACCAGCATACAAGAATAAAGAGTTTTCATGTGCCACGAGTCCTTTTAGATCTGCACAATGGTTGTGCTTCCACAAAGGCCCTCCCTGGCGACCGTGAAGAGGATTGTGCATGGAAAGCAAGCCCTTCTCTCTTGGGCCTGATGGCTGGTGCTGACACAGATTGTCTTTCTACCTTCCAGGTGACCATTTGAAGATCTGTCCCCAGGGCTACACCTGCTGTTCTCAAGAGATGGAAGAGAAGTATGGCCTGCAAAGTAAAGATGATTTTCAAAGCGTGCTCAGCGAACAGTGCAACCATTTGCAGGCCGTCTTTGCGTCCCGCTACAAGAAGTTTGATGGTATGTGATCTGAATTGCATGTAAGAGGTGACAGCTGTTTGGTGTGAGCGTGTCTCAGATGGCTTCTGTTCTCTCAGTGCTTCGGTTTCCTCCCAAGAAGTGGTGGTGGCGGTGTGGTTTAAGTCGGCTTCCAGGGGCAAGTTAGCTATGCAGCTCCACTGGCGTCTGTATACTAGGCATTATGGAAATATGGTCAAAGGGAGTTAAAAATAGATGAGGTTAATTTAAATGCTTTCCTTTCCTTTCTTTGGGTGAATGCTGCATAGTGTTGTTGACGCAAGTCACTGAACAAACGACTTCCTAATAAAAAGCAGGCATCTCAGAACCATCTTAGCCGCCCCTGCCCCCGAATCCAGTTGAGAGGTTCTACAGATGCTGGACTTCATATTAAATTTCCCAATGGATTGCCAGCTACAATTGTTCGAATCCCCATAGCACATAGACAGGATTGGTGCCCAGCTCTTGTGAGCATTCATACAGCCAGTAACCTGGAGGCGGCCAGTACTCTATGGTCTTCACTAAGCTTGACTGCTTCTCCGGGCTCATTAATAGCTGAGGTCTGATATAGTCTTTGCATGGAAAACCACCACAGAACTCTAACCCCTCTAACATGGCTACTTTCATTTCATAGAGAGGAAGGAGGCAGATGAGAGGCATTTCAAGTCCTACCTGAAGCCACACTACAGATTACAGATGCAAAACTATAATACGAGGTCCCAGCCTCCCTCGGATTCCTTTCTGTGATGTTGCTCACTCAGGATTGTTGTGAAGTAGACGTGATTTAATCAGAACAACTTCCTTTGTGCCTGTTTTAAAGGCCATTCTAATTACATGGTACCTTTGAAGCAAGCTTTTTTTGACATTATGCGTGGTGAAGGAGTACAAGGCAAATTTTGTAGATGTGAAATGTCTTTGAATATTCCTGCAAAGGGCTTGTTACCATGGTGAAAAGTTAGACTAAATTAGATTTGATAGAGCTGATAAGACAGTCCTCAACTATAGAACAGGTTGTATTTCAGGCATTTATTTTGAGAGTCATTATTTGAAACTTTTTTTTGTAACCAATTTAATAAGTATTAGTAAGCTGTCCAGGCTAGACTATGACGCATTTTATTTGTAATGTAGTTGTACTTAAATACTGTCTGGATTTTTTTAGTGTATACCATTGATCCTATTCATTGTTTCCAGTACACTGTGTGCAAGACGTATTTGGTCTTGTTTTTGCGTGCTGAGGCTGGGGAAGGAAGCGAGTACATCACACATGCTATACGTGCTCTCAACCACTGGCCTACACCTCCAAACCATTCGGTTTTAATTCTATCTCATTTCCCTGGAAGGGTGAGAATAAATATATGTATCTTTATATCCTCCTGATTAGCCCAGCCCTGGTATATCTAGCTTTTTCTGTTAAAGGGCACATGCTAATACTCTGTGAAAATAGATATTATTGGCAAGTACAGTGTTAGACCCTTCCTTGTCTCAAGATCACTGGTTTTGTTTTGAAAGCAGTGACTCATTCCTCTTCTCATTATCCATCCCCTTCAAGTCATCTAAGTTTTTGAGAGTCCCGTGGTTTGTGATCTTGCTTTGCCCTCCCTAGTCCTAGGGCTACAGGTGTGCACTACATGCCCAGAAACAGTGAAAATCTCTTGACTCTGGCATGTCAGAGATGTGAATGCTTAACAGATCACTACATGGGACTTTCATACCAGAATTACAAAGGAAACAAGTCCTGCTCCTGTGGAGATTCCCCATCCCCAAACCCACCTTCTCTAAGTTACCTCGTTACTTTTTTCTTTTTTAGATGAAGTACACTTGGGGGCTAAGATAAGAAATAAGGCATTTAATAAATGCTTAAGCTTGAGGTTGAGAGAGATGCTCAGAAAAAGTAAGACATATCCAAAAGCATAGGTCTGGGTTTCTCACAGAGGAAGTTGTAGAATAGCAAATATCCAATTCTTGGTACAGACTTCTCGAAAGAGAACTGTCCTATTTCTGGTTATACGTACCTTTCTCTGGAATAGAGCCACAGTCATTGCCTATGGGCCTGCTGGTTTAATGTTCTCCCCCTTCTCCTTCCCCATGGTTTTATAGCAGTATCGTACATAGTATGATTACAATGTTCAGGCTTTCTTTTGAAGAAAGCTATCTTATAGAGAGCCGATATCAGTAAGTGTTAACATATGCTTGGATTTTTTTAAAAATATATAAACAATTGTTCTTCTTCACAGTCAATAAATACATTAAAATTTACCTTTATCAATTCCAAAACATACTAAAAATGATTATAAAACTTCCGTTTATTTCTTCTGACTCTAATTTAAAATATGGCAAAGACAATAAAGTTAATGAGTACCAATTAAAATTTGTTGTGAGCCGCTGCAATCCGTTTGGTCTGGAGATCAGACCAGAGCTGGAATACTTTGCACATTTTCTGGACGTTTTTCTGAAATCATTTTTTATGGCATAACATCAGTTGTCTGGTGCCCAGCGATCCTTTTAGCAGCTGCATCGGATGTTTGATTGGTAGATCCAGGGGTGTTGAGTAAAGTGCTTTAGGGTTATTTCAATTCTCAGAAGTCCAAGGGTAAGGTTGTTTTGATCAAAGGCCTGCCCGAACTGTGATAAAAAGGACAAACCTGTGTCTTTGATGGAAACGGAAGAGAGGACATTTGGCAAAGAAACAAGATGGTGGCTAGGGAATGAAGAAGGGTAGTGGAGTCACACACAACCCTGGAGATACATAGTGAGGAAGTAGCAGAAGGATAGAGGGAAATTAAAGGTGGTCTGGCCAGGTCCAAGTTCAAAATGCATACTCACAAGAGATGATTTTGAGCCTTGGCAACTTCCTGTGTTAGCCAAGTGTTCTGTAGATGCATGAAATGGCTTCACTGACCCAGTTTTTGGTTACTATGCCTCTGTTGCAAGAGAGTGGTTAATTACCTGGTCTACCATTTTTAGACTTATCAAATGTGAAGAACAAATCCTTTTTCCTGTTTCCTTGTCTCGAAGGATTTTTTTATTGGGGGGTTATTTTGCTTCTGCACCTCTCATTTTCTGTTGTTTGCGTATCTCAAGTGACTATATAGTTTATCAGTTGATTTGTAAATTTTAAGTTCAGTATGTTTTCAGACCTGGGTAATTATAAGAAAAGACCTCATTTGACAGTATCTCCATATAGTACTTCAACCAGTTTCTTGGATTTATTTTTAAAATATTAAAATTGTATTACTGTTACTACTACTTCTTATCATCATCATCATCATCGTCATGTGTGTGTACATCTGGTGTGTTCATGTCAAGGGGTGTGTCTCAAAGTCAGGCAACAACTTTCGGGAATTAGTTTTCTCTTTCCACTGTGGGTTTTGGAGATCAGACTCAGTTTATACCCACTGAGCAATGTTGCCAGACTGCCTGTTCTTCAAATGTGTGTCTCTGGATGTGAGGACTGGCTTTTGTATTTTTCTGTTCTGCAAGTTTTTTTTTCCTTTATTTGATTTTATTGAGCTCTACATTTTTCTCTGCTCCTCTCCCTTCCCTCCCTCACCCCCTCAACCCTCTCCCATGGTCCCCATGTTCCAAATTTACTCAGGAGATCTTGTCTTTTACAGTTTTCTCTGCTCCGCTCCCTGCCTCTCTCCTCCCCTCCAACAAAGACAAGATCTTCTGCAAGATTTTTTTTTTTTTTTTTTGTGAACTCTGTCTTAAAATGGTCCCAGAGCCAAAACACTGGAGCGACATGGTTAGCTGCTCCCCCTCTTGGCCAGTCTTGGGAATTTTTTAGTAGTGAAACTGCTCATTAGGGGAAGCAGTTGTCTCATGACTATGCTAATAAGTCAGTTCAGTGGCTGTTGGGAAGAATTACTTGGCAAAGGGAATAGAAATAGTAGAAGGGGAGCATAATCCGTGTTTGGGGAACTACAACATAAAGACCCGTCCCCCAAATGTCTGCCACTTCGTGAGGCCCATTGTTTTTAAGAGAAACATAGGCTATTAAAGTGATCAAAGCTACTGGGTTAAATACATTGCTGGATTGCATAATGAAAATGATGCAATCCCCATGAAGAAACACCACGGCTGAACGACTACCCGAGTCACACTGTGCGCTAGAGATTTTGCACACTCAGAGAAATCTTATGGAACCAGAGATGACACCTGATACGAATTTCTTGGGAAAACTCTCTTACTTTGTCATTTTAGGAGGAAAGTAAGACACTTTGGTTGGGAGACAGAACACAAGGAATTGTTAGCCCCATTCTGCAACAGGACCCTCTGTGACCTGGAGCAATTAACTGGGTCTCAGTTTTCCCGTCCATAAAATGAGAGTTGAGCTAGATGCTCCCTCAAAACCCTTTCAATTCTAAAAATTCTGTGAATCTTTTAAGCATGTGCCTAGACCAGCTGCCTTAGTGGAAGGTCTTACAAGTTGCTAATTAGCCATCTGTATGGTACCCTCTCTTTCCCCCTGTCATTTCTTAACCCCCAGCTACTTTCCCCAGGTCTTTGAAAACCCTCCCGTGAGCCTGCAGCTTGTTAACTTGAATAATAGTAGAAATTTTCTGAATTAGCTTAAAATGCACATAAAAGACATAATTGTCTGTTCCATTTATCCGCCTGGGCTGGGCAAGCTAGAGTGGCTATCATCACAGGGCCCGCCCCCCTCCCCCGCCCTGGCTCTCCTGTTTCTATCATCACACTCAGGCATGATATGAAGCACTCTTCAGACTTCGCTGAATCTGTTTTAATCTCTGTAGTTGATAACAGTTCATTAGGCCGGTAGGAAGACCAATGTGGAGCCTCAGTGGCTGAAGGCATTTGAATTCAGAGGTCTATGAAAGTATGAGCCTCGGCGACGGTGAGCTGTCCACTTGCCTTCAGTGAAAAAATACCTCAGCCTCATGGCCATTGAGATTTCATGGCTAAGTTGAAATTTTGAGAATTTTTTTTTTAGCCCCCCCCTGGCCTTAACTATATCTTTTTTAAACTTCGTGGATTTGTTA